AAAATTTCAAAGTAGTCCTGCCTTAAGTTTTATTGTGCACACAGGATTGAATTAATTATTACCAGGAAACTTTTTATACTTAAATATGCCTAAGATAAGTGTAGACTCTTGAAATTTGAACCAACACCAGCTACTGAGTCTCAGTCACGGTGAACCCAACATCCTTCTTGCCTCATTTGAAGGGGCAACACTCTGCCGGCCATGGTGTTTGCAGAGACCCCACCCAGAGGGGGAAGGATAGTTCAGAGTCCCTGGTGAGAAGGAAACAGTGACCAAATTACATAGACAAGTCAGTGGGAATCGGGACAGCTTTGATGAAGAACATTTTGTTGTTCTTTTTTAAAAAATGCTCCAAGATCCCCGCGGCAGTGGGCAGCAGAAATGCTGTAGGTCCCAAATGGTGGTAGCGGGCCATGTGGTGGCAGGCAACGGGCCCTGGGAGCAGCCAGTCCCAGGCAGAAATGGCTGCCGGTCCCAGAGCGGTGGCCTGAGCGGTGGTGGTGGTGGTGGTGGTGGTGGTGGCAGGCCATGTAGCAGCAGACAGCAGGGCCCTGGGAGCAGCCAGTCCCAGGCAGAGACAGCTGCTGGTCCCAGAGGAGTGGTGGCAGGCCATGTGGCAGCAGGCAGTGGGCCCCAAGCAGAGTAGGCCGCTGGTCCCTGAGCAATGGCTGGTTCCGGGCAGGGAGACACATGGCAGGCGGGCAGAAGACAGAAACATGGATAGACAAAACATACAGGGTGAGGTTGAATGTTTATTCAGGGGGTTATGGAGGAGGAAGGGTGAAGGGGGGGACAGAGAGGGAGGGAGAGAGAGACAGACAGAGAGAGAGAGAGAGAGAGAGAGAGAGAGAGAAGGGGGGGAAGCAGAGAAGTGGGGAGAGAGGCAGAAGCGAAGCTGCCTCTCCAAGAAGATGGAAAAGAGAGCAAGCTCAGGCCGGAAGCTGAAGATCAGCCTGCCTCAGCGGATGGGGAGGGGAATGGGTGTGGCTTGTCTCTTAAAGGGACTAAAACCATAACATTCCCAGGTCTTCCTTATGATAAAAAACACGCATGTCAAGGAAGCAGAAAAGGAAGGGCCCAAGATGGCGGCGGGCAGGTCAGAGGTAATGGGAGTGGGCGTGGCTTGTCCCTTAAAGCGACAGGAAAGCACAACACATTTAGTCTTTGAATAACTCAGTAAGCATGGGTTGCTAACTTACCTTGTGATGAGCAAGCTGTAGACACTGGAGCTAATTTGGTTTTTGGTTTTCATTTGTTTTATTTGTATGGAGTTTTTTAGAATTATTTTGTTTATGTGTATGAGTATTTCACCTGCATATATGTAGGCACACCAGACAAGTGTTTGGTGCCCTAGGAGGCCAGAAAGGGACATCAGTTCCCATAGAACTGGAGTTACAGACAGTTGTGAGCTACCACGTAGGTGCTGGGAACAGAAGCTGGGTCCCCTGAAAAAGTACTGAGTACTCTTAACTGAGTCATCTCTCAGGTCCTGTTTGTTAGTTTTGAGACAGGGTCTCCCTTTATAATCCAGACTGAACTAGAACTCTCTACGCAGCTCAGGCTGACCTCAAATTCATGGTCATTCGCCTGTTTCAGCCTCCCAAGTGCTAGGATTACAGTCTGGTACCAACACGATCATCTGGGGCTGCAGTTTTGAACAGAATGAACAAAATTTTTTCCAGCATGGAGGTTCAGTTCCAGCAGGGGTGGGGATAGAAGGATCAACAGAGGGAATGAGGGACAAGGGACGATTTTTTTAAGGGTTCCCAGAAGACTTCAGTAGGATGGTTATATTTGAGCAGAGACCTGAGAAGGGGAGAAAGTGCCCCCACCTTTCTCTTTTGACAAGGGATTGATCATGATGTTTGATTTTTAAATGTTTTATTTATTTTTATTGTATGTATATTAGTGTTCTCCCTGAATGTATGCTTGCATGAGGGTGTCAGATTCCATAGAACTGGAACTATAGACAACTGTGAGCTGCCATATGGGAGCTGGGAATTAAACCTGGGTCCTTTGGAAGAGCAGCCAGTGCTCGTAACCAGTCCCATGATATTTGATTTTAAATGTCAATTTGCTGTGATTTAGAATTGCCTGAGCAGGATCCCTGAGCTGAGGACTTACCTTGACTGCCTTAATTGATATGGGAAGACCCACCCCAAATATGGGCGGCGCCTTCAAGTGGCAGCCAAATCAAAAATCTACGCGGAAGAAGGAAGGTAGTTCAGCCTTTGTGGCCCTGACCTTCCGGCTTGCGGCCACTTAATCTACCATGTTGCTGCCACCCCGACGATTCCTTCACTCAAGTCAAAATCAGTGTTTCCGGGCGTTCAGCATTGACTGAGGACTGGACACCCTCCGGGTCTTCAGAACCATCTTGGGACTGCTGAGGCACCCGGCATGTCCTGAGGATTTCCCAGGTGGGTGCTCAGCCATAAGATGGCTGTTGTTACTACTTCGACTGTATTGCATTGGCTAATTTAATAAATGCATATATGTGTGTATGCGTTTGGTCTCTTAGTTCTGATCCTCTGGAGCACTGGCTCTCAACAGGGGTCACCTAAGACCATCGGAAAACACAGTTATTTACATTGATTCATAATTGTAGCAAGATTATAGTAATGAAGTAACAACAAAAATAATTTTATGGTTGAGGGTCACCACAACATGAGAAACTGTATTAAGGGTCACAGCATTAGGAAGGTTGAGAACCACCGCTCTAGAAAACCCTGACTAATTTACTAATATGTACTATTATGGTGTTTTTTTTTTGGGGGGGGGGGTGTGCTTGGTTCTTTGTTTTTGTTTTGTTGTTGTTCTTGTTGTTTTTTGAGACAGGGTTTCTCTATATAATAGCCTTGGTTGTCCTGGAACTAGTTCTGCAGACTAGGCTGGCCTCAAACTCACACAGATCCACCTGCCTCCTGAGGGCTGCAATTTTTTAAAGGCATGCACTATCATGCCTGGCTTTCTCCTCTCTTTGTTGATAATTGAAATTATGAGGTGGGTTCTGAGGTATCTTGACAAGATAAAGCCAGGAGCCACCAGAATGGTACAAACAGTAATGTCGTGGGGAGCTTTCTGACGAGAGTCTTAGAAATCGGTAGTTTTCGGCTGACAAGGGAAAACAACCTTAAGTAAGCGTTACCTGTGCTGAAATCGATTCTCCACGGGCAGAAGTTTCAGCCAGACTCAGTGTGGAGGGGCTCCCCGCCCCCGCTCCACACACACACTTCCCCGTCTTTTTGTCCTGCTTCAGTTTTGGATGAACGCTCCAAGACCCCAGTTCTCCCTTGGCCCTGTGTTGTCTCGGGTGCCCTGCCCAGACTCAAAGCGCAGAGCTCAGGAAATCCGGAGAGAAGGGGGCCTCAAGCCAGGGTGCCACAACGCCCAGCCCTCTAAGACCCCTGAGGCAGGAAGGTCGCTGGCTCACCAGTTTCCCTCAACCTCCTTCCTGAGAGGAAGGGGCTGCCTGTGTCCCCCCGAGGGTGAGGGCCCAGGGTAGGGCAGAAGGGAAGCCAGGAAGGTGTCGCAATCCTGGGTCCCCTGGCCTGTCATTAACGACGAAGCTAGAAAGAGAAGTTTCAGGAACTTGTCCGAAGAAGAGAGGAGCAAGAGAAGAGAGAGCGAGCACCGAGGCTGGGCACATCGCCCTAGCCCCAGTGTAAGTAGGGGAGGGTGGAGTCCTGGAGGCCCCAGACCATTCCCTAGCATTGCCAGGGCCACATCAGGGGGCCTACAACAGGTGATCCGTGGGACCTGGGAGTCTCTGTGTGTGGCATGGGGAAGTCAGACAGCTGAATCTCTTTGGAAACAGGAGCTGAACTCAGGAGTGAGCCTATCTCTCCTGGAATCTCTGTCCCTCAGATACGTTCTAGAGGCCCCAGATCTGCCTCGGTTCCCTCTTGGCTACTCCCTGTTTTCAGCCCTTTGGCATGCCTCCTCTCCGCAAGTAAGGCTGTCTTGGAGTCCCTGGGCCTCTCTCTCCTCTCCCAGTTCCCGTTGCCTCTTTAAACAGTTGCTACAAGACTTCGCCTGCTGGGCTTCTCTGCTTCTCTAGATCCACTGGGTCCTGCCTCTCCACCTTTCTCTGCCTTGCCCTGGCCTCGTCTTGTTGCTGTTGTTAAAGTGTGTGGCTCTCAGGCAGAGGAGGCTTATCTTCGTGTAAGCAGATGAGAACCTAGAACTTCTGACCCTCCCGCATTCCAAGTGCTGTGAGTGACTACAGGCCTGCACCATCCTGCCTAATTCTCAGTGTGGTCCTGGGGATCAAGCTTAGGCCTTTGTGTGGACTAGACAAGTGGTCTACCAAACTGAGCCACATTCCCAGCTGCTTTATGAAATCACCAAGATGCTCAAACTCGATTTGAATTTCTTTTGTAGCCCAGGCTGGCCTTGAACTTGCAATACACTTGCCTCCCCTTCCAAGGTAGCTGGGATCTCAGACCCATGCCACTGGGCCAGGCTCTACCTCAGTCTATCTCTGTGTGTCTTTTGCCCCCAACCCATCTATCTATCCATCAATCCATCCGTTCATCCGTCCCTATCTTTATCTCTATCACACCTGGGAAGCCTTCTCCCTTAGTTTAGTCCCGATGTCCATCCCCTTCCTTCCTCTCTTCCCACTGACAGAATTTCTAAAGAGCAGGACGGGAGAAGGGAACCAAGGGGGGAAGGTTGGTAATGACGAGCAAAGGAGCTCTGACAGCAAGAAGAGGGGCTGCTGTAGCAGCCGTGGCTTATGGCATCAGCTATGTCAGTTGGCACAGTGAGAGCGGCTGCAGAGTCCAGCAGAGACGCCAAGAGTGACGGGAGTGGCCTGAGAACCTTGGCGCTAGAAGCCGACCCAGGCAACGCAGCAAGGTGGCTGTTCCAGGAGGCTGTGCTGGTTCCATTGGCTGCAAGAGAGCCCGGTCCCCAAGCACAGTGCCAATGGCGTTAATCTTAGCTGTCTCACTCTGTCATTATAGCACTACTGAGACATGAGTGTTACCGTTCGTCGTCTTTCCACAAATGGAGAAACTGAGGCTCGGAAAGGTGAAGGAGCTCATCCAAGTTCACCAGGCAGGTAAGTGTGGGAGCCAGGGTCAGAACTGGGTTCCCACCCTCTTTGCATACAGTAGGCGGAGGCTCCAACAGGCCCACACTCCTACTCCCCTGGGACCACTCCCAGGGCTTCTGTAGCTGATGTACTATGCCAATCATGCCAGCTCCAGACAACCTAGGGAGGATGCCCGGTCTTTTCTGCATTCCATTGCCTGCTCTCGACATATGTCTGTGGGAAGGATAAGGTGGTACCAGGTATAGGCTAGGCCTAGGTACAACCACAAAGAGTGGAGCCGGGAACCAGCATCCTGAGCCCTGGGGACTAAGTCTTTCCCACTCTGTACATGTGTGTCCGTGTGGTAGTGAAAGACAGTCAACCTGGTGTGCGGATGTGAGGTTCTTTTCTTAGTTAAGGTTTGCTATTGCTGTGATAAAACATCCTGGCCAAAAGCAACTTGGAGAGAAAAGGGTTTATTTCAGCTTATCCCAGGCAATAGTCCTTCACTGTAAGAAGTCAGGGCAAGGATTTGAGGCGGGCACTGAAGCAGAAGCCATGGAGGAGTGCTCTTACTGGCTTGCTCCCCACAGTTTGCTCAGTCTGCCTATAAGGCACCAGGACCACCAGTCCAGGGGTGACGCTGCCCACAGAGATCTGAGTTCTCCCACATCGAGTATCAATCAAGAAAATGTACCACAGGCTTGCCCACAGGCTAATCTGGTGGGGGCATTTTCTTAACTGAGGGCCCCTCTCCCCAAATGACTCTAGCTTGTATTAGGTTGACATAAAACTAGCCAGCATGGTAACTAAGCAAGATTAGTAGACAAGAGATGTCCTGGGCAAGAGGTAAGAAAAGTTTGTGTTCCTAGTGGCTCTGATCCCTGTTCTTTCTGGGAGGCAGGTTTCACCTTAGTGATACACACACACACACATGCACACACACACACACACACACACACACACACCATTCCCTTAATGCCAGCTGGAAAAAAGCCCTTGGTTTGAATTCTCTCAGGTCTTTCTCTCGAAGTCCTAGGCAGTAGAGGCCAATGTTACCTCCATGTTGCAAACACTGAGGCTCAGAGGTTAAATAACCTGCCCAACGTGTGGCAGAGCAAGGATTAGCCTCAGCTCTGCTGCAAAGCTTGTTCTTAGGCATCTCTCACTGTCTCCAGGTAAGCACCAGGTTGTCACAATGATGGGGCTGGGAGCCTGCGCCCTCACCGGAGTTGCCCTGATCTTCTTGCTACTCCCTAAAAGTAAGTGGGGGACTGCGGAGGAGGATTAAAAGGGAGGCACAGGTCCCCAGGCTGCTATGTCCCAGGCCCTGGGAGTGGGGCAATGAACAAAACAGCCAGGGTCTCTCTACATCACAGAACTTAGGGGCAGCAGGGGAGTCACGATTCCAATTACAAATGGATGGAAGAACTCCAGGGTACAGTCGGGCTTACCGAGATGCACACATGCTAACCTGCTGAGAGAGGGCCAGAAGAGCACCGTGAAAGGGGAGCAAGGGGTGCAAAGGTCCACAGTCGCTTTAGGAATAGAACCAGTGTCTGAGCTGAGCCAGGGAGAGTGAGGCGAGGGGCTGTGTGAAGAGGGTGGAACTGAGTGTTCTGACCTAAGAGCAAAGGTTCTGCACGCACAATTGTGTGAGGACGCCTGAGCCTCTAAGCTGGGCAGTGGTGGCACACGCTTTAGTACCAGCACTCAGGAGGCAGAGACAGGTGGATCTCTGTAAGTTCGAGGCCTCCTTAGTCTACAGAGTGAGTTCCAGCCAGGGGTACACAGTGAAAACCTGTCCCAAAACAAAATAAAAACCAAAACCAAAAACCAAAAAAAAAGAAAACCATCTGATTCTCCCAGAGACACAAAGGTAGTACTAGATAAGGAAGGAAAACAAGCCTGGTACTGACTTACTGTAGACCGTCATTGAGACTTACTGCCAGTAATTAGGCTCTTAATAACGCCAGCCACCTGGCCGCGGGAGGCTGGAATACGACGGAGATCCAACAGCAGGCCACAGAACAGAGGAAATTCCTTCAGAATGGAGGGGTCTCTGAGTTTAGCAGATTAGTGGTAGTGCTAAGATATAAGGCTATAAAGTCAGAAGCTAGCCCTATTGTCCCACCCTAACTCAGGGCTGTTACATGCCAGGATCTTAGCAGCTTCAGGAAGGTACTTAGAGAGGATGTCAGGTATGACTGAGGCACTCGGCGGGGCAGCTCTGGGATCTAACAAGTAGGAACTGCTTTTCATCGCCATTCACAGATGAAAGTCGGAAGACGCGGGGAGTCCCACTTACATAGACGAGGTCGCTAATAATAAGCAAGGCCGTCTAGCCCCTGTGTCTAAGCTCATCACCCATCACATCAGCCTGCCTTTGCAGGCAGTCACACGCCTTTGAAGTGTCACAATCAAGACACTTACAATCAGATCTGAATTTGGCAAGGATTGCGGTGGCCTTGGGGGTTCTTATCACTCTGATTGCGGCTTTCACTACCTATCCAGTCCCTCCCTAGTGAGGAATTGGAGCTGCCTGAGAAGAAAAATAGAGACTGCATTCATAACTGCATGCAGGGACGGCACAGGGATACAAATGTTCACACAGTGGGGAGCATGCGTATCCCGGGGAAGGTGTTCACACCCCAGGAAGGGTTTATACCACAGGGCGCGTTCACATCACAGGAAGCATTCACACCAAGGGGCACACTCACGTGATAGGAAGTGTTCATGGCCCCGGGGAGTATTCACACCACAGGAAGTGTTCATGCTTCTAGGAATGTTCACACCTCAGGGGAAATGCTCGCTCTGTAAAGAAGGTTCACACAGATGGACGTGGCCAACTGAAATCAGGAGCTGCTTTTCTCTGCAGAGGCCATTGATAACCATGTACAGACACATGGTTGTTTCTTGCTCTCTCGACAGCGCATCTTATAGGCATCGTACATTGTACTTACTTCTTCACATTTGGTCCCGGTGTCCTCCAGATGGGAGGGTGAGAAGATAGAGGGGGTCTCTGAGGCTAGGAGTCCAGAGGTCTTGACATGGCCCATGTTGGCCTGGCAAAGGAGTCATCCGGGACCCACCCTCTAGGTCCGGAGAGCTGCGGGCACATCAGGCTCTCAGTCCCCATTGTCCGTCTTGGGGACCCTGTCATGGCTTCCTGCACCATCAGCCCAAACTGCAGCAAACTGGACCAAGAGCCACAGATCCTATGGAGACTGGAAGATGGACCAAACCAGCCTGGAGACAGAAAGCAGAGACTGCCTGATGGGACCCAGGAATCCATCATCACTCTGCCACATGTGAACCACACCAAGACCTTTGTCTTCTGCCTAGTGCCATGGGGCAACAGCTTCCAGGTCCTGGATCAAGCTGAACTTCAGGCAGGCTGTAAGTCCCTCTTACCATCCACCCATCTGCTTCCGGCCCTTCTGCCAAAAAGAACCAGGGAGAACAATGACCTCATTCAAGTAGCCCTTTGTGAGCATGACAGGGGATATTGTTCATCCTATCAGGTGTTATTATTTAAGCCCCCGTTCTCCAGGTGAGGAAACTGACATTTAGTGAGAACAAGCGACTTCCTGAAGGCCATACTCCCAAGGGTTCCTTGCAGAAATACTTGTCTGCATGGCTGTTTAGCAAGCTCAGGTCCTTGGTCCTAAGAGGGGTTCACTTCCATCTCCTCCTAAGTGCAGACCCAGTTTTCTTTCCAAATTGAGCAGAATGGTGTTTGTGTCAAGCTAAGGTATAAGGAATAAATAAAAACCAAGGCAAACTGGCACATCTTTAATCCCAGCAGAGGGAGGTGACTCTCTGTGGATTTTTTCCCTTCAAGACAGGGTTTCTTTTTTCTTTTTTCTTTCTTTTTTTTTTGTTTGTTTTTGTTTTGTTTTGTTTTTTGAGACAGGGTTTCTCTGTAGCTTTTGGAGCCTGTCTGTCCTGGAACTAACTCTTGTAGGCCAGGCTGGCTTCAAACTCACAGAGATCCACCAGCCTCCGCCTCCTGAATGCTGGGATTAAAGGCATGCGCCACCACTGCCTGGCAAGACAAGGTTTCTCTGTGTAGCCCTGGCTCTCCTGGAACTCACTCTGTAGACCAGGATGGCCTCGAACTCACAGAGATTCTTCTGCCTCTGCTTCCCAGGATTTCTGTGATTTTGAGGACAACTTGATCTACATAGGGAGTTCCAGGGCTGCTAGGACTACATAGTGAGACCCTGTCTATTCCACCCCCACAAAAAAAAATTAGTGCTAGGGCTGGGGATGCAGCCCCATAGTAGACTACATACTTAAAAAGAACAAGGCCCTGGGTTCCGATCCTAGCACCCCACCAATCAATAACAGAGCCAGAGCCAGGTATGGAGGCACACTTCTTGGAAGCTGAGACAGGAGGATGCCAAATTAGAAACTAGCCTGTATTGTATCATGAGGCCTGTCTCCAAAAGAAAAGAGAGCAGTGATCACCGTAGCCCCCACCTGCCTGAGCACAGTTGTGAGCACCCTATACACAGGAAGTCACTTAGCCCTCGTATAAATTACTTTTGAATGCTGTGACAAAACACGGTGACCAAAGACACTTAGAAGAGAAAGCATTGAGTTGGGCTCATGGTTCCAGAGGGTTAGAGTCCATGACAGGGAAGCAAAGTATAGAGGCAGAAATAGCTGAGAGTTTCTATCTTGAAGAGCAAGTAGGAGACAGAGAAGACTACCTGGAAATGGGACAAATCTTTTGAGACCTCAAAGCCCACCCTCCGTGACACACCTTCTCCAGCAAGCCTCCCAAAACCAGTCCACCAACCAGGAACTAAGTATTCAAACATGAGCATCTGAGAAAGGGAGCATTCTCAATCTATCGCCCACAGCCCTTAAAGAAACCCAGGAAAGAAGTTGATTATCATCACCCCTCCTTACAGATGAGGAAACTGAGGCACAGGAGCAGTTCAGTCACGTGAGGATCAAATGGCTAATGATTGACCAAACCAGAATGAAACCCAGGCTGTCTCTGACAAAGACGCCACCAGGCTGCTGAGGGTCTGGGATGCTTGCCCCTGTACCTGACAGTAACGTAGCTGCCCTTACAGGCCCACACTGCAGAAGGAACAGTCCAGCCTAAGGAAGTAAGGCCACAGGTGTACACCCCGCCCACATAGGCTCCTAACATTCTTCCCACCCTATCTAGATCCTCCTGCCAGCCCTTCCAACTTGTCCTGCCTCATGTACCTCACCACCAACAGACTGGTCTGCCAGTGGGAACCAGGTCCTGAGACCCACCTGCCCACCAACTTTACCCTAAAGAGCTTCAGGTACATAGGGTTTCCATGCCAGTCCCTTCCTCCAGGTCCTGGGTTGGGGCACAAGTCACTGTGGGGATGGGGAGCCAGAGGCAAAGACAAGAGGGGGCCTTGCCTTCTTCCTCTGCTTGACACCTAAGCCCGGCCTCTTGGCAGGAGCCGTGCCGACTGTCAGTACCAGGAAGACTCCATCTTGGACTGTGTGCCCGAGGACAGGCAGAACACCTGCTCCATTGCCCGCAAACACCTGTCTCTCTACCAGAATATGGTCATCTGGGTGCAAGCAGAGAACACGCTAGGGATCAGCGAGTCCCCAAAGCTGTGCCTTGACCCCATGGATGTTGGTGAGCAATACTGGGTATGAGAAGGGGGAGAGAGCCCCAGACTGGGAGACCCAGAGGGGTCCTGGGAGGAAACGCAAAACTAGGCACAGACAGGGAGATTTGGGGAGACCTGAAAAAAGCAGAGAAGAGAGAAATGGGGAGCAGAGGCTAGGTTCATACTTTGATCTTTATTTATTTATCCACTGTTTTTTCAAAACAAGGTTTCTCTCTGTAGCCCTTGCTATCCTGGAACTTACCCTGTAGACCAGGCTGGCCTAAAATGTGCCACCGCCACCCGGCTCTTCTGACTTATTTATAGGGGCACATATCATATCATGGTTACATATCATGGGGCACATGTGGAGGCCAGAGGAACTCTCTGCAATCCTTCTACCTTGAAGCAGGGTCTCTCTTGTCTCTGCTGCTGTCCTTATACTTCAGGCGATATAGCCCAGGGGCCTCAGGGTGATCCTCCTGTCTTCGCCTCCCAGTTTGCCACAATAGTGCTTGTATTACAGATGTGCGCCATTGCACTGGGCTTTTTTTTTTTCCTTTTGTTTTTTATTTTCAAGACAGGGTTTCTCTGTAGCTTTGGAGCCTATCCTGGAACTAGCTCTTGTAGACCAGGCTGGCCTCAAATTCACAGAGATCCGCCTGCCTCTGCCTCCCGAGTGCTGGGATTAAACAAAGGTGTGCGCCACCACCGCCCGGCTGCACTGGGCTTTTTGACATGAGTTTTAGGACTAAACTAGAACTTGGGTTGTCAGGCTTGTATAAGTAGCACTTTGCTTCAATAATCCATCACCCCAGCCTTCAACTGATTTCTCAAAGTGATTACCTGCCCTCCCCCCCCCGCCCCCGCACCCACACACACACCCCTGCTAGGCGGTGGCCGTCCTAAAGATACAGCAGTGAGCAAAACTTCAGACATCCCATCCTCAGAATATTACAATGTCCGATGACTTTAGAAGTTGACAACTAAGTAGATCCTTGGAGGAAGTGAGGGACCAAACCGCTGGATAGCTGGAAAGAAAATGCTAGAAGCAGATGTAGCAACCAGTTCAAAGTCTCTGAGGCAGGCCTTCACCTAGATCCCCAGACCCAAACACAGCTGGAGCTATGGAGCCAGAGAGGAAAAGATATTGAAAAAAATCCAGGAAGGAAAGGGGGCATTAAGATAGAGCCCTCCCCAGGAGGCACGGAAAAGTTTGACAACCTAACTCCTTGCAGTGAAATTGGAGCCTCCCGTGCTGCAGGCCCTGGATGTTAGCCATGATCTAGTCCCACGCCAGCCAGGCTGTCTGTGGCTGAGCTGGAAGCCATGGGAGCCCGGTAGATTCATGCAGCAGGAGTGTGAACTCCGCTACCAGCCACAGCTTAGAGGAGCCAACTGGACACTGGTGAGGCAGAAGACGACCTTGAGACGGAGGTGGGGCATTGAGAGGGGGCAAGTTGAATTGAGTTAGTGTCACCTCCCACACACCAGGTGTCCCACCTGCCTTCCAGCGAGGATCAGTTCAAGCTCTGTGGGCTTCACCGGGCTCCAGTATACACCCTGCAGATTCGGTGCATCCGCTCCCTTCTGCCTGGACTCTGGAGCAGCTGGAGCCCTGCCCTGCTGCTAAGGCCCACCATTAAAGGTGAGAAGCCAGGAGTGGCCATCAGAGCCTAGTCCGGTCACCAGGGCCCTTTCCAACAAAACCCTCTCATCTCCTCCTGTCCACAGCCCCCACCATCAGACTAGACACATGGTGGCAGAAGAAGCAACTGGGTCCCGGGATAGAGAGTGTGCAACTGTTCTGGAAGGTGACTCTCTGAGACTCCCCTCCCACCCCCAACAGAGCCCCCAAGGTAGGGCTCAAGAGTGCAGGGTGCCTGAAAGGCTGGGAGACAGTTTGCATGTGTTTCACACATACATCATGCATTGGAAGGTGGGTAGTGACCTTGGGGAGAGACTGCAACACGGGGCTCTGGGGTCACCTGTGCCCCAAAGGGTCCAGCCAGAGAATAGTTAAGCACCTGCTACACGTACTCACTGGCTTCTTCCTTCTTTCCCTCCTAGATCTTGCCACAGGGGGATAGAGGGATGGGGAGAAGGGCCTCAGATCCCGGTTCCTATGGCTGGCCTGTACACCCCAGGTTTAGCTACACAGTTCCCTCATTGTATTCTTCCTCACCTGTCACAGCCAACACCCCTGCAGGAAGACAGCGGACAGATCCAGGGGTACCTGCTCTCTTGGAGTCTCTCGGATCAGCAAGGGCCGGAGAGGCACCTCTGCAACACCACAGAGCTCAGCTGTATCTTCTACCTGCCCTTGGAGGCCCAGAACGTGAGCCTTGTGGCCTACAACACAGGAGGGACCTCTACACCTACACCAGTGGTTTTCTTAAAGAACAAAGGTAGAGGGGGCCTGGCAGCTAAACAGCAGAGAGCATCATGGGAATTTGAAGGCTGGACTGCCTAGGCTCCTACCTGTCTAGTCCCACCAACTTGCTAACAGAGTGACCTGGCCTGGACAGGTGACCTCCCTCCCTGGCCTCCCTCCAGAACCTGCAAGCGAATGCACTAACATGGCCTGTTGGGGGCAGGGGGCAGCCAACTTTGAGCCAACGTTTAAATTAGTATTGTTAGCCAGAACTAGGTTAATCTGAGAGAATATGCACACATACCTACACACATACACACACACAGAGCCACTTATAAGTTGTACGTGTACATATGCATATAGCCACTGGCAGACAACCGCAGATGTCATTCTTCAGGGGCTGGCCACGGTTTTGGAGACAGAATATCCCACTGGTCTGAAATTCACTGATTAGAAGCTACTCTGTAGTGGTTGGTTAGCCCCAGAGATCCACCTGTCTCTGTCTTCCTGGTGCTGGGTTTATAAATGTCACTTGCCTGTTTTGTTTGTTGTTTCCACATGGATTCTGGGAATCCAATTCCGGTTTTTGTCCTTGCCTTACAAACACTTTATCATTTAAATGATCTCCCTAGCCCTGAGCTGTGTGATCCTTAATAAGCCTCTCTGCCTCTCTGTATCCCCCACTTTCACTCACTGATAAAAGGGAGACACCATCGTGCCTCCCTGCCGTGATTGTTAGAGAACTCCATGAGTCACAGACATCAAGCTGAGTGGGGCCAGGAAGTAGCAGGCTCTGTACAAGCTTGTGCCCTCCTTTAACTCACACCAAGTCTACAAAGTGAGGACTTCCTTGTTACCACTTCCACTTGGCAGATGAGATTGAGGCTCAGGTCTTGCTACACCCTGCATGGCAGGTCTGTCAGCAGCAGAGGCAGGATTTGAATCCATGTCCAGCACTGAGGCCTGCAAGCTTTCCATCTTTGCACCTATTTCCCACTCCCTCTCCAGGTCCAGCTGTGACCAAACTCCACGCCATGGCCCAAGACCCAGATAGCATCTGGGTAGACTGGGAAGCACCCAGCATTCTGCCTCAGGGCTATCTGATTGAGTGGGGCCAGAAGTCCCTCAATAAGTCCTGGAGGATTGAGCCCAATGGGAACATCACTGGAATTCTGATACAGGGTGAGACGGGCCTGGGAGGGGGATTGGGTTGAGGGACAAGAAAAGGGAACAGAGTGGGTGGTGCTTGTCTCGAGGTAGTAAGGGCAATTGGAGCCTCTCTCTCTACAGAGGCAATTTCCCCAGACCTTTCTGAACCCTTACCTTGGGAAAGTTCTTCCTACCCTCTAGCCAGATCCTTTGTCTAGCCCACACTCTGCTCCTCTTCTAGTTCTCTGTCCCACTTTCCCCTCATGACATCCATCAAATGAACTAAAAGAGATTTCTACCCTTAACCCCATGGTCAAAATCAGGCCATGCAGAAAGCAGATTCTGAGGCTGGGTGGCAGAGGTTGGCCTCGACCTTAGCGTCATCCCCTCTTCTCTCTGCAGAAAACATAAGTCCCTTTGTGCTCTATGAAATCTTGGTGGCCCCTCTGTACCCAGGCATCGTAGGACCCTCTGCCCAAATCTACACCTACTCTGGAGAAAAAGGTTTGTCTACCATCAGAATCCCCTCCTCTCTCCCTGGTTGGGCCCTGGCAACAAGAAGTGTGAGAAAATGGTACCCTTTTACTTCTGGCCCCTGAGAGGGGTGCTCTCCATCCTGCTTTATACTGGGTACCCCAAAGCTGGGCAGAATTCAGGAAATGGGGTAGAAGACAGGAAGCCATGCATTTGAGAGAATCAGGGAGGAGGCAGAGTCTCACGGCATCAACCCATGGCCCAACAGAAATCCAGTGTCCCAGCTGATAGACTTGAATGGAGTCCCTGATATGATTCAGAGTGGCAGAAATCAGATATCAGGTCAGGAAAAAACAGATGTGGCAGAAATTGGAGAGCCAAGATTTGAGACAGAACTGGATTCAAACTTAGGCTCTGCCTCTGCGAGTCATAAAGGGCAAGGGAAACCAGATGAAATCCTGGGCGGAGGGGACTCCGGACAAAGTGGTGTATGCCTCTGACCCTAGCGACTCTGCTGAAGTAGGATTATGATTTGGGGGCTAGTCTGAGCTATGTGGTGAGACCCCCATCTCAACCAGATACAGTTTCCTCTTGGAAGGGATCTCTCTAGAGTCTCTGTCTCTCTCTCTCACACACACACATTTGCTTTTGTTTCAGAGGTTTGGAGTTTGACTTCTTGTTTTTTGCTGTTATCTTAATTCATTTATCATCATGTGTGCATGAGGTGCACGAATGGATGCACACATGTCGAAGCGCCTGTGGAGGCCAGAGGGCAGCTTTGTACAGTCAGTCCCCTCCTCCCACCTCCGTGTGCTGTGTTAGATGGCTTTCATCATCACCTGGGTCTAGGGTCCCTCAGCTGAGCAATTGCCCACGTTATATTGGTCTGTGATTACATCTATGAGAAATCATCTTAATGGATGGTTGATGTGGTAGGACCTAGCCCACTATGGGAAGCACCATCCCTAGTTAGGTGGTGGGGATGAACTGTATAAGAAAGCTAGATGAGCAAGTCAGAGAGTGAGCCAGTAAATAGCCTTCGTGGTTTCTGCTTCAGCTCCTCCTCGGCTTTGTGCTCTGACTTCCCTCAACAATGAATTACAACTGAAGGTGTAAGCTTGAAATAAGCTTTCCTCCCCAAGCCGCTTTTGGTCATGTATAGATCACAGCTGCGGAAAAGCGAAGTAGAGCTTGTAGGGTCCAGGGGTTGAACTCAGGTCTCCAGTCTTGCAGACCAAGAACTTTACCAGCTGAGCCATTTTGTTGGCTCCTTTTATATTTGTTTTAAAACAGGGACTTACATCATAGCCCAGGCTGGCCTCGAACGCACAGCAATCCTCCTGCCTCAGTCTCCAGAGTGTTAGGATTATAGACATGCACAGCTATACTCATCTCTGTGAACTCTCTTTTCTCAGTCATCTACGTCCCAGGTTCTCTCCCAAGTTCTGGGTCCAAAAACTCACCAGAGCCTGGTCAGGTTGGCTGGCTCTAATCACATGAACCCTTCTCCCTCCCCCTCTCTCTCCACAGTCCTTCCCCATGCTCCAGAGCTACATCTGAGGCACGTGGGCAGGACCTGGGCCCAGGTGGAGTGGGTACCTGAGACCCCTTGGCTCGGGATGATACCCCTAACCCACTACACCATCTTCTGGACCAACGATAAGAACCAGTCATTTGGTGAGTCTATCCTCAGCTCCCCACAAACCTGGGAGGCCTGGAAGGGGTGTTCCTCAACAGATACAGAGATGTTTTAGCACCCCAAACTGACCATATGCTCCACCCACAGCCATTGTCCTAAACATCTCCTTCCATGGCTATGTTCTGGACCACCTGGAACCTGCCCGTTTGTACCACGTCTACCTCATGGCCACCAGCCGGGCAGGGTCCTCCAACAGTACAGGCCTGACCCTGATGACCTTGGCCCTAGGTAAGAGGAAGGCTGACAGTGGTGACTGCTGGGAAGATGCCCCACTTTGCCTCTCTAGAAATCCTGATTTTTCCAGGTGTGGTGACACGCATCTTTAATCTCAACCCTGACACAGAGGCTGATGGAGCTCTGTGAGCATGAGGCCATTCTGACCTAAAGAGAGAATTTACAGGCCAAGCAGGGCAAAAAAAAAAAAAACAAACAAAAAAAAACAAAACAAAACAAAAAAAAACAGGCAGTGGCAACGCACACCTTTAATTCCAGCACTTGGAAGGCAAAGGCAGGCGGAACTCTGTGAGTTCGAGGCCAGCCTGGTCTACAGAGCTAGTTCCAGGACAGTCAGAGCTGTTACACAGAAAAAAAACCATTTTGAAAAACCAAAAAAGAAAGAAATGGATTCTGATTTTAAAGGGAGGAGAGGAGATTATGAAAGTGTGTTTTCATTTTTTTTTCTCAAGTTTATAAAGGGAGAAAAGTGCAGGGCGGTGGTGGCGCAGCCTTTGACCCCAGCACTCGGGAGGCAGAGCAGGCGGATCTCTGAGCTTGAGGTCAGGCTAGTCTGGTCTCAAAGTAAATTCCAGGACAACCAGAGCTTCACAGAAAATTCCTGTCTCAAAAAAGAAAACAGAAATCTAGGGACCTGCCTTTGGGTCTGCCAGCCTGGAGGGGAGCCGCAGCCTCACCAGGCTACCTCAACATACTCCTGCCAGGATGCCTCTAACTTTTCCACTGTTGTTTGTCAAGACAGGGTTTCTCTGTGTTGCCCTGGCCGCCCTGGAACTCTAGACCAGGCTGGCCTCGAACTCACAGAGATCCGCCTCCCTCTGCCTCCCCAGTGCTGAGATTAAAGGCGTGCGCCACCAACGCCTGGCTAACTTTTTCACTTTTAACCCCTTTTCATACAAGAAATTTTTACATAATTCTGAGTACGTAAAACATGTCCAGATCAAACACTTACTGATAATAAACAATGCATTTATTTTGAAACAATTCTTTGGTACGCATATAAATTTTCATTTAGTAAAGATGAACGCAAACCTGCTTACTAATGAGATGGCTGCGCTTGCTTCTCTTACACAGAAAATTAAATGTGGGCTGGGTGTGTGATACTGCAGGGCAAAGAACACCTTCAGCCACCTTCAGCATTTCTCAGAGTTAATCAGTATTTTGATATTTTTACAACCATCAATGCTGAGAAAGACACATTGCATAAATATACAGTACCAAATGGCAGACATATGCTTAGGGCCATTTCAGAAATTGTTGAAAATTTTGGCTTAATCTCAAGCCAGAATTCATCCAACAATTTCTTCTTTCCTGTGAAAGTCAAGTCAGCAACTCAGACAGCAGTTCTTTAAATTAATCATTCTAATATGATACAATCCAAAGATACACTGATTTGATATCCACACGCTGAGGGTTGAGGGCAGGGAAATATTGAAAGTCTTTGTTTCCAGAATTAAACTATTATGTGAGATTCTGAGGCCCATAGTGGATGATAGTCTTGAATGAGCCGAGATGTTTCAGGTGGTATCTGGTGATTCTGTGCCATGTGATGGAATGCATGGCGCAAAGTGCACGTGTGTGCTTAGAACCAAAGCTGCAGTGAACTTGCACGATGAAACACAGGTGAGCCCTGCCAGAAGCATGTTAGATGCATTAGTGTTTGGTTTTTATAAAGTTAATTTTTGGGCTGGACGGTGGTGGTGCACACCTTTAATCCCAGCACTTGGGAGGCAGAGGCAGGTGGATCTCTGGGAGTTCGAGGCCAGCCTGGTCTACAAGAGCTAGTTCCAGGACAGGCTCCAACGCTGCAGAGAAACCCTGCCTCAAAAAACCAAAATAATAATAATAATAATTATTATTTTTGATTGTTATCCTTTTAAAAACCTTTTACTCCTGCCAAAATTTTACCATCCCCACATTTGGTTCTGCCGTAGGATCATGACTCATGGTGGAAAAGCCACACACTAAACTCTTCTTGCTTTCGCTCACCGCAGAGACATCTGAGCTACACATCTTCCTGGGCCTGCTTGTCTTCCTGATTTCTTTCGTCAGCCTCTGTGCGGCTGTCTGGTTCTGCTGCAAGCAAAGGTGAGAATTTCCCAGACTTCCTGTTGCCCATGGGTGGCGAAGTCACTCCCCGTCTTCCCAGACTTCCTGTTGCCCATGGGTGGCGAAGTCCCTCCCCGCCTTCCCAGACTTCCTGTTGCCCATGGGTGGCGAAGTCCCTCCCCGCCTTCCCAGACTTCCGACCCCAGCCTGGGAGTCTGTCCTTTCACCCCTTCCCCCTTCAGCTGCCAGAGTAGGGCAAAGGATGATAAGTTGAGAGGGCACACCTGACCCAGACTTCACTCGCCCTCTTCTCCAGCAGGAAGAACTTCTTTTGGCCAAATGTGCCAGACCCAGCCCACAGCAGCCTGAGCTCCTGGGTGCCCACCATCATGACAGAGGTAACCAGGAGGCAGAAAGCGATATATACCATGACTGGTAGATGAGATACAGCCACTACAGGGATGCCCTTCTGAGGAACACACATCTAAGTCTCATTTTCAACCAGAGATACCCCCCCCACACACACACACACACACTCCACTTTGAAGAGATGCAAACCTAAGTTTGACTCTCACTATGCTATGCAATGGATGCACAGGTGCTGTGGTGGGGTTAGGGGGTGGGAGGTGCTGCGGTGGGGTAGGGGGGTCTTTCGTGACAGACACATGTCAAGAATGTTCAGGCGCGAGGCAAGTCTATCCTTTTGTGCTCTGCCACACAGCAGCAAGAGCAATAACCCAATTGCCTCATCTCAGAAAAGTACAATGGATGGGGCCAACATTGGAGATAGACCATGCCTCATTTTATTTCCCTGTGTTCAGGAAATCTTCCAGCTGCCCAGCTTCTGGGACACCAGCATGCCACCAATCACCAAGATCACTGTGCTGGAGGAAGATAAGAAGCTGACCAATTGGGATTCTAGTGACAACTCTCGGGCTAACAGCCTTCCCACCCTGGTTCAGGCCTACGTGCTCCAAGGAGATCCAAGAGCAAATTCCAGCCAGTTCCAACCCTCCTCTGGCACAAGTGACCAGGTCTTTTATGGTCAGGTGCTGGGAAGCCCCACCAGCCCAGGAGTAATGCGTTACCTTCGCTGTGATTCCACTCAGCCCCTTTTGGGGGGCCTCACACCCAGCCCTAAGTCTTATGAAAACGTCTGGTTCCACCCAAGACCCCAGGAGCCCTTTGTGGCCCAATCCCCAAGCCAGGAAGATGACTGTGTCTTTGGGCCACCGTTTGATTTCCCCCTCCTGCAGGGGCTCCAGGTCCATGGAGTTGAAGAACAAGAGGGCTTCTAGGACCTTTTGGATGCTTGAATCTTGAAGGCCCTGACCAGTTCAGAGGATAAGAGCCCTCCACTGACATCTACTGGCCCTGAGAGAAGCAGAAAGAGCCAGTCTGCTCCATCCCTGGCCATTATTCCTCGCCTTCATCCCACCCTCCACAGGCTGCACCCCCAGGATACCCTCATACTCTAGATTCAGATAGATAGATAACTGCTTCCAGCCTTCCACTCACCTTTTGTGTTTCCCATCATTTCAGTTTGTTGAGCTGATTTTAGATTCTGAACTGGGGCTGGTATTTTCAGAATTCTTGCCAGACGTGGGGATACATGTCCGTCATCCCAACAGGGAAGGAAGATGCAGGAAGCTTGCAAGTCCCAGGCCAGCCTGGGCTACAAAAGAAGCTCCTGTTTCAAAAATTAAGCAGAAGTTAAATAAACAACAAACTTTTTGTTACGTTCATTTATTTTGTTGGGATAGGGGCTCTCATACAGAGGTCAGAAGACAGCTTTTGGGATTTGGTTCTGTCCTTCCAGTATGTGGATCCTGGGAACAATTCAAGGCTCAGTGGGAAGCACCTTTGCCTGTGGAGCCATCTCATGGGTTCCAGAAAAGAATCCCTTGAGCATGGCTGAGTGTCTTTTACTTTTCAGGGTCCAGCAATCAGGAAGATATTTCTCAGAATCATTCATTTATTTCTCCCTCCCTCCTTCCTTTTCTCCCTCCCTTCCTTCAACCAGCTCCTGCCTAGCATCTAAGTCCTGTATTAGCATCAGAAATTCAAAAAGGACAGCTCAGTCCCCCATAGAGCACTCCCATACTGGCGCTGGAGATTTGAAACATTATCGGGAAACAGAGACAAGACTTACTTGGAGCCGGGTGGTAGTGGCATAGCCTTTAATCCCAGCACTCGGGAGGCAGAGGCAGGAGGAACTCTGTAAGTTCGAGGCCAGCTTGGTCTTACAAGAGCTAGTTCTAGGGCAGACTCCAAAACTACAGAGAAATCATGTCTCGGGGGTGGGGGTGGGGGCAGAACCTTACTTGGGAGGAGTTGGAGTGCTGGGGAACACAGTGAAGCCAGGGAAGAGACTAGCCCTGCTGGTACCTATAACTCCAACACAGGAACGGTGTATGTTTGAGGCCAAGCTGTGATACACAGCAAGTCAAAAGCCTCTCTCTCTCTCTCTCTCTCTCTCTCTCTCTCTCTCTCTCTCATGTATGTGGGGATGGAGGCTGGAGAGAGATAGCTTAGCAGTTAAGAGCACTGGCTTCTCTTCCAGAGGACCCAGGTTCAATTCTCAACTCCCACGTGGTGACTTATAACCATTTGTAATTCCTGCTCTGGGAGATCCACTGCCCTCTTCTAGCCTTCATGGCAGCTGACACATAGTGATGCTCAGATGTACACACAGGCAAAACACTTATACCCATAAAATAAAATCTTACTGAGGAAATATAACCAAAACAATATCTCAGGTCTGAGGATGTAGCTCAGTGTAGAACATTGGCCTAATAGTACGAGTCTTACAGTTTGATCCTCAGCATAGATAGAAAAATCCCTTGCCAAACCAGAAACCTTTTTCCTAGGAGAAAAGAATGAGAAAAGAGCATCATTATTAAATAAACATTAAGCCAGAATGTAATAAGGATAATTACAAAGATAAGCTTTACCCTTTTTTTGAAGGACTTACTTATTTTTATGTACATGAGCATTTGCCTGCATATAAGTCTGTGTGCCACATGTATGCGGTGTCCACAGAGGCCAGCAGAGCACATCCGGTTCCCTGAAACTTGTCAGATAGATGTGAGCCACCACACTGAGCCTTGTATCCAGCCCTATTTTTAGGGTTTTTTTTTTTTTTTGATGTTTGTTCGGTTTTGTCTTTTTTTTTTCCTTTGAAGAAGCTTCAATACTGATTTCTGTGGTAACTGCACGTACACATTCCCAGCAGCAATGTATAGGAATTTCCTTCTCAAGCCAGGCAGTGGTGGCACACCTTTAATCCCAGTAATGGGGAGGCAGAGGCAGGGGGATCTCTGTGAGTTTGAGGCCAGCCTGGTCTACAGAGTGACTTCCAGAACAGCCAGAGCTGTTACAGAGAGACACCCTATCTCAAAAAAAACAAACAAATGAATAAATAAATAAATAAATTTTCAGCTGGGCAGAAGTAGTGAACACCCTTGATCCCAGCACTCGGGAGGCAGAAGCAGGTGGATCTCTGAGTTCCAGGACAGCCAGAACTGTTACACAGAGAAAAACCTGCCTCAAAAAACAAAGAAAGAATTTCATTTCCTCCACATCCTCACCAGCATTTGTTGTCGCTTTTGTTCTTGGCTGGAGTGGGAGTTGAGAAAAGTCATTGCATCTAGAGCATACATCAGAACGCAGAGGTTGTCCTCACTGTATCAAGGGTAACATTAGGAGGTAGCAGCTGTTGGTTGGAGGTACTGAGACCTTGAAGAAAGCAGTGTAGAGAACAGGGATTGTTTCCCATGATTTACAGAGCTGATTTTCTTTTTTTTTTTTTAAATATTTATTTATTTATTATGGACACACTATTCTGTTTGCATATATGTCTGTAGGCCAGAAGGACACCAGACCTCATTACAGATGGTTGTCAGCCACCATGTGGTTGCTGGGAATCGAACTCGGTTCCTTTGGAAGAGCTTGCAATGCTCTTAACCACTGAGCCATCTCTCCAGCCCAGAGCTGATTTTCTGAAGGGATTTTACGTCCTTTCCATGGCTTTAGTCACAAGACCATCCCGGAACACCTGGAGTGTCTCATGTTGTTGGGGACCACAAAGAGTCCACAATAAGGACTGAAGTTGTGGGCTGTGAGGTTTCCCTTCAGAGAACATATAGATCAAAGGTCTTTGAGGAACTTGCTTTATCCCCCACCCCCCCAAAAAATAGAACTTTTGTGTAGCAATCAATAAATCCGCATTTGCACAGCTGTTCAGAGTTCAATTCATCAAGGCTGGACCTCCCTGCTGTCACAGGTCTAAATTCAGCTTGCAGTGACCCTCTTTCTGTGATCATCTGCTGCAACACGGAACACCGACAGTTGGTGACAGCCATTCACCTTGGGGTGAGATGATTTCAATGCACTTTGCTTGTTTTGTTTTGTTTTGTTTTTTGAAATGGGATTTCTCTGTGTAGCAGCTCTGACTGTCCTGGAACTTGCTTTGTAGACTAGACTGGCTTGAACTCACAGAGATCCGCCTGCCTTTGCCTCCAGAGTGCTGGGATTAAAGGTGTGCGCCACCACCACCTGGCCTCTATGACTAACTAGTGTGGCTGTTTTGTGTTCTGGTCTTCAGGCAAGCTTTATTTACTAAAATACAAATGAAATATCACAACAGGGAGGTGGTATTTGTTCTAGAGGGACAAAGACTGCCTCTGGATAGACACAAAATAGAAACGGCCCATAGGCAAATGGCAGTTTATAAAGGTAAAACAGGGAACCCCATGTTAGGATGAGATATTTAATTAATTTATTTATTTGTGGTTTTTTGAGACTGGGTTTCTCTGTGCAGCTTTGGAACCTGTCTTGGCATTTGCTCTATAGACCAGACTGGCCTTGAACTCACAGAGATCCACCTGCCTCTGCCTCCGAGTGCTGCCATCAAAGGCGTGTGCCACCACCGCTGCCCAGCGAGTGAGCAAGGTGTTTAATTTTAATTGGGCATGTTAATTGGGTAGGGGGCTTTTGATTGCTGGACTTCAATACTCTGATAGTTGGACCTTGGTAGTTAGCCTCAGGAGGAGGAAGAGGTGGCTAGCTTTAGGAATACAATCTGTTTTTAGCAAGGCAGAGGGACTGGGGGATAAGGACAAGGCCTGCCAGAGCCAAACGTTCAAGTGGGCTTTTGTCTCTTCAGTGACAAGCATTCATCTTCAGTGACAAGCCAGCTCACCTCACTTTGAGGGCAGGGTCTGAAGCTCCTGGATCCAGTTAGATTAGCTGGCCAATGAGCTCCCAGGAGCCATCCACTCTGCCTCCCTGGAATTCTAGGCTCTGTGCCTGGCTTTTACGTAACTGCTAAAGTCTGATCTTGGGTCCTCATGGTTGCACACCATCTTCCCTGCCCCACGCCTTTTTGAGACAGGGTCTCAAGTAGCCCAGGTTAGCCTCAAACCTCCTACACAACCAAAGACAACCCTGAACAACATCTAGTCCTCTTGCCTTCAATTCTAAAGAACTAGGATTACAGACACATGCCACTACATCCAATGTGTATGTACTGCTGGGGATCCAACCGAGGACTCTTCATTCTAGGCAGAGACTCTGCTAAGCGAACTACAACCCCAGTTGCCCAAACCCCTGCATATCTGATATGCAGGATACCTGATATACGCACACACACGGGTAGCAATCCATAGGTTGAGACACACTGACCTAAAGTCAGTAGGAAAAATTAAGGCCGAATGCAAAGTCAATAAGTGACATTTTAAAGTTTACACAGAGCGCTTTGCCGGGCCACCCACCAGGACAACCCAATCAGCTCCACTCCAGTTCCTCTGCACCCAACCAATCCATTGCTCAGCCTTCGGCTACTTTTGTCGAAGGCGCACCTCGATTGGTCGAGCCTGAACCGTCATGGCTGCGCCCATGTGACCGGCCCCACTGCTGAGCGGTCAATGGCGGCGCAGGCCCGCGGGTCAGGAGTCACTATGCTGCGGGCGGCGTGGCGCGCGCTGAGCTCTGTTCGTGCCCAGGCAGTGGCACAGGCTCCGGGGTCTGCGCTGCGAGGCGGAGGAAGCGCCAGTCTGCCTTCAACACGCTGCGGCTTGCAGACTCCGAGTGAGCAGCGGAGCAGGAGACAGGGGAGCTGGGCAAGGATGGAGGGTACCAGGCACCCGGAGACTGGAGAGAGGCAGTGGAAGGATGCGAAGCTAATGGTGGTGGCTCGGAAAGGAGTGATGAAGTGGGAGTTGGGTGCAGGTGCACGCAGTCCGTGGTAGGAGGGTCGTGTCGGGCTGCGGAAGGAAATGAGTCTCAGCCTTTTCTGTTCTGCATAGGTCTCCTGCTTGCCGCCCGTGCATACGCCACCCAGAAACCAGGTAGGAGGGCTAGGTTGAGACTGGACGCGGAAGAGACCCCGCCGGGATAGCTTGGGGTGGACAAGGGGACAGAGGTGGAGCGCCCCTACATCCACGTCTTATAGAACCCTAACGAGGAGGCAGGAGTAAGAGTTTTCGAGTGGAATACTAGTGAAAATGAGTGAGTTCTTGGCTGGCCACACCAGACCTTCCCAGAGTGGAACGCTTTTTATCTGCCACTCTGACTTGTAGGGTGTCGTTTCTCACCCCCAAGTTAGTATGCCTTAGGGCCCTCTAAGGAACAAATGTTATTTGAGGCT